CAGCAATTAGCATCAAGAGCTGTTTCTAGTAGTAGGAAGGAACTTGGGTCCTTGCGGGGAGATGAAGAGAGACTCCTATCACTAGTTTCCCAGAAGCATTTTGAGGTCGTCGTTTTTGTGTGTATACTTCCTAATCAATCCATTAGGTAAAAATCAGAAAATTATACATTTAATAACATATTTGATAATACAATGAGAGTCTAGAGGGAAAAAAAGAAATGTTCCTCAATTTAAGCACTATTGATGGTTAAATTGCTTATGTTTGGTACTAGGATATTTGGAAATTACAAAAATAGCACCCACAGTTTCTATTTAAGATCTTGCTTTGGATACAAAGGGTGCACATGTGGAGTCATTAGAGAGCAATTGGAAGCAGTGCAGAGACATGAGGAGATAAATCTCTACATTGGGCATAAGTGGACTGTATATATAAGAAGCCATCAGACGGAAATACAGTCAGTTTTGCAGGAAACAGATTAGTGAGATGGATGAGGATATTAAAGAGTGAGGTAACATGGGCAAGAGCACAGAATGGGAAATAAATGATGCCTGAGTGGGTAGTTGGTAGGCATGTATGTAGTCAGGCATGAAAGGTATATAAATGACTGGGCTTTGGTTTCGCCCTATTTGTTCACAACCAAGCAGGGAGAAGAATATACAACGTCCTTAGTACCAGTGATAAGGACAGAAGGTAGGAGCAAAAAGTCCTTTGTTGGAGGGAGTCAGGGAAGGCTCCTGAAAGGAGGATGTAACATTTGCAGGATGATGCAGGGATAGTGTCATCTCTGGTGAGAAATAATCTTCAATCTACTTTAAAATCTAGTATCAATTATTTTTAAATTTACCAAAAGACCTGCTACTTTAGGAGACTTAATTGTGCAATTGCCTTTGGGCTTCAGATTTTAAATATTTGTGAAATTTGAATCATTAAGAGCGATATAAAAATTATAATTTTTCCAAAATTTTATGTGCCACCATTTGTTTTTTCTTTTCAATGAAATTTACTGTGATTTTTTTTACATATAAAATTGAATGGAAAAGGCAAAATGGAGGAAAAGGCAAAATTCATAGTGGAAAATATATTATTTGTTTACATATTATTTTCTTCTAAAGTGGGTAATTAGTGAATTCATTTAGTACCGTTATGAAAATTAGCTCAAATAAGTGATGTAATTTATAAAAGGTGATACTATATACAAATGTAGTATATACTATAGCAGTAGTATATACAAATAGGTATATACACCTATGCATATATATTTTTGAGTGGGGCACATTGTATTTGCTTGTAGTCTCTCTCATCACTTTGTACTGCACCATCAAAAATTTTTCTTTATACTATTAGTCCTTTGGAAACACAGTTATCAAAGTGAACAAAAATAGATGGCCTTGACTGCAATACATTATACAGATTTAACATAAATTTTATATTATGTACAATGACACTATTAAATGTGTTAATACAACACATAAAATGACCAATTCTCTTTAAATTTTAGTGTTTAGCATATTTGTTTTGATTGTACGTGTGGGAGCTGTGAGAACAGCTCTGCAAAAATACTTTGCAAGTTACCATAGTGACTAAATTGTAGTGCTTTATGATGTTGTCTTTCCCCTGGGTCTTAATTCAGTTGCATGCTTTTTAAATCATAATCCAATAGTTGACGTTTAAATTTTTCTATTTTTAAAAAACTGTATACACACATACAGGTTTATAACTTTATTTAAATGTATAATTTGATTATATTACACTTTCTTCAGGTAAAATCTTCATTTTTCCTTTTTCTTCTTCTTTTTCTGGGTTCCCATATCTCTTTTTTCTCCTTCTCCCCACCCCCTCCATATTGATCCATGTTGGAATCTTTTTATTTTTTCTGCTATTTTCATGCAATTATATAAATCTATGTACACGTGTACAAAAAGAAAGCAGGATTTTTATAAGCAGGGTTTCATGGAATAGTTCTGAATTAATTGATATGTAGTAGTTTCTATCTATTTTTTCATGGCTTCTTAATGTTTCATGTTGTAAATGGGCCGTAATTTAATCACTTTGCTTCCATTTTTGTAGTATGAATAATGCTTTAATAAACATCAAGATACCTATGTATCTTGCCATGGTGGTGTTTTTATGTCTGTGGGATAGGTTTGAAGAAGCTGAGATTGAAGGGTCAAAGAGTACATATTTTAAATTTGTATAGAAATTGAAATTACTTTTTGAAAGAATTGTAACACATCACATTTATACCCAGCAGTATTTGTATCTTTATCCCATGTGCCTGCCAGCAGTAGTAATTAAATATAATTCTCTTTAATTTTTGCCACTCAATTAGGTGTAAAGTAAAATTTTATTGTTACTTTAATTTGCAGTTTCCCAACTATTAGTGAATTTGCTGGTTGACAATTTGGATATGTGTAAAGAATATGTTCGTTGAAAAAAATGTATTTATTTAATAGTTGCTTCTATTTCTATCCTTGTCTATTTATTTGATTTTTATCCTTTTCTTATCAAATTGTGAGATCTGTTTGTATATTACAAAGATACCCCTTTATATCAACTCCGATGCATTTTTTTTTAATAGCCACTGTGTCTTTTGCCTTTCAAGTGTCTTATGGTATACAGATTTTTTTTACAGTCTTTCAAAAGTGTTTTAGTATAAAATTATCTAATTCTTTTTGAGATGGAGTTTCGCTCTTATTGCCCAGGCTGGAGTGCAATGGCGCTATCTCAGCTCACCGCAACCTCTGCCTCCCAGGTTCAAGTGATTCTCCTACCTTGGCCTCCCAAGTAGCTGGGATTACAGGTTCTGCTAATTTTGTATTTTTAATAGACAGGTTTCTCCGTGTTGGTAAGGCTGGTCTCAAACTGCTGACCTCAGGTCATCCACCCACCTCGACCTCCCAAAGTACTGGGATTACAGGTGTGAGCCACCATGCCCACCAAAATTTTCTAATTCTTTCTCTTCCATCCTCATAAAAACAAAACTTTGTCAAAATTCTAATCGAAATGACATTACACTTACATAACTGATATTTTAAATGAAATTAAGTACTCCCAACGAAGAACCTGGTATATCCTTCTGCTTGCCAGACCTTATTTTATGCCTTTGGTAGAGTTATGATCCTCTTTATGCAGGTCCTTTATCTTTTTTTGGAAAATTTATTCCAAGTATTTTATTTGTTGTTACTATAAACATAATATTTTCCTGTTTTCCATCTCTAAGTACTTCTATGGAGAAAATATATTGATATTTAGGTATTTATCTTATATCCAGTTACCTTGTCAACTTTATTTATTCTGAAGATTTTTGTTTTCATTTTTTAAACATGAATTTCTTGTGGGCTTCTTGGGCATGGATTAACGTTACCAATGAAAAGAAGTAATTTTACATTACATCTTCATTTCCAATTCTTATGCAAACTATTTAATTTTCTTAAAAAATCAGAGATACTACTAAATAATAATGAAGATACTGGGTCTACTTGCTAAGTTCCTAATTTTAATTAAGATGGTTGTGATGGTTTACCATTTAGAAAAATATATGTGCTTGCTTTTTCACAAATATTCTGTGTTGTAAGTTGTGTTTTTCTACTTTTTTTTTTTTTTTTTTTGAGATGGAGTCTTGCTCTGTTGCCAGGCTGAAGTGCAGTGGCATGATCTTGGCTCACTGCAACCTCCACCTCCCGGGTTCAAGTGATTCTCCTGCCTCAGCCTCCCAAGTAGCTGGGATTACAGGCACGAGCCACCATGCCCAGCTAATTTTTGCATTTTTTTAGTAGAGATGGGGTTTCACCATGTTGGCCAGGATGGTCTCGATCTCTTGATCTTGTGATCTGCCTGCCTTACCCTCCCAAAGTGGTGGGATTACAGGTATGAATAGAGATGACTACTGAACTATATCAAATAACATATTAGCATTTATTAACATTTTCAGTAATTCTTCTCCCTTAATGTATTGAAGCAAGGTATTATGCTGATGTATTTCTTACCATTAAACCATCTTACATTCCTGAAATAAAAAACTTTTGATCATATAGTATTACTCCTTTGGCATTTTGCTGATGTTTTGTTTAGTATATGTAGTATATTCACAGTAAGATTAATCTATGGCTTTTTTTTTCTTATTTTTGTGTTACCATCTTTCATAGGGTTTGGTATAATTACTGTAATATGAAATAAATTCAAGAATATTTACTTTTTTTTAGAGTCTAGAATAATTTAAATAAGTTTCCAACTATAACAGTTTAAAGATTGGATAAAATTGCCCTAGTGACTTCTTCTTTTTCAAAATTATAGCTTTCTTCTATGGTAATTTTCATATTCAAGTTTTTATTTGGCTAATTTTGGTGACATATTCAGCTATGAAATTATCCATTTATTCTAGATTTTTAAATTGTTTTCCATAGTGTTACACATAGAATTCTCATAATTTTTAATCTCTTCTGTGACTGTTATACATCCTTTTGCTCTTATTTTTAGTATCTCTTTATTTTTAATCAGGCTGTTGAGTCTTTTTTTTTTTTTAACATCATTTTACAAACTTTTCAAAGAAGGAACTTTCTATAATTTATTTATTTCTGATTTGGGGGTCTATTTTATTAATTTTACCTTTTAATATTATTAATTCTTACTTCCTAGTTTAAGTTTATTTTGTGTTTATTTTCCTAATTTTAAAAGAGGGAAGATTTAATTATTTAATTTTTAACCCTTTTTCTTTAATAGCAAACAATTTAATGGAGCGAATTTTTCTCTGCAAAGATCTTGCTACATCTTAGAGGTTTTGTTATCCAAACAGTTCCTAATTTCTCTTTTTATTTTATCCTCAGGATTTACTTCAGGCATATTTAGGAGACTGTTTTTAAATTTCCAAGTTGTTAAGATCATTTTGGTGAATTTTATTATTTATTTTAAATTTTATTCTACTGTGAGCATAGAGGATGCTGTACTAAAATATCTACTAAAAAATCTTTCCCTAGAATTTCTCTTCTTTCCTCTCTTTCAGCTGGAATGCAGATATACCAGCCCTTGCTTCATGCTGAGGGCACAGATGCCTTTGGGGAAGGCAGAGCAACAAGATAGAAAGGACCTGGTCTCTGAATAGCCATATGGAAAAAATGGCATCTCTATCAGGACTGCTCACTTAAGCACTATTTTGTGTAAGAAAAATAAGCTTAATCTTCTAATACTGTTTGTGTCCTCTTTCTTATAGCCTCTTAGCCCTTAAGTCTACTCTTATCTGCACGCTCATATTCACATTGCCTTTTCCTGTTTTGGTTATTATTTTCAATGCAGAAATCCAGTTTATGTATGGAATACAAATCTGCCATGCTTACAATTCCAAGTTTGCATTTAGTGCTAATGACACCATCACCACAGGGATGCAAAACAAAATTAGGTCCTTGGAAAAGTATCTGTTCATATACATTTATATATTTTACATTTGTACTTAAATATAAAATATTAAAATTGACTATCTGTGAATTTATACTGTTTTCTTCAATCTAAGACGCATTGACTCTAGGATTACAGTCAAAAGATTGCAAATCCATATAGTTGACATTTGTTTTTTTTTCCTTCATAATATCACATCATCTGTGACATCAAGAGCCATGGCAATGTAGAATATTTTAAAGGAATGCTTCTCTCTTGTCTCTGAGATTTTCTTTCAAACCTCTGACACCAGTTCTGCAAGTTTGAATATGCATGTATGTGGTAGGCTGAATATTGCCCCTCCCCCAAAAGTGTCAATATATTAATCCCTGGAACCTGTGAATATGTTAGGCTATGTGGGATAGATAATTAAGGTTGCCACGGCCTGGAGTGGTGGCTCACGCCTGTAATCCAGCACTTTGGGAGGCTGAGGCAAGTGGATTAGTTGAGCCCAGGAGTTCGAGACCAGCCTGGCCAACATGGTGAAACCCTGTCTCCACTAAAAATACAGAAAATTAGCTGAGCATGGCGTGTACCTGTAATCCCAGGTACTCAGGAAACTGAGGCAGGAGAATCACGTGAACCTGGAAGGTGACGGTTGCAGTAAGCTGAGATCATGCCACTGCACTCCAGCCTGAGTGACACAGCTCACCAAAAAAAAAAAAGAAAAGAAAAGAAAAATTGAGGTTCCAATCAGCTAACCCTAAAATATTAAGATTATCCTTGATTATCTGAGTGGGCCAAAGGAATCACAAAGTCCTTAAATGCAGAAGAGGGAGACAGTAAAGGAGGTCAGAGTGATGCAGTGTGAGAAGAATCCAGACTGCCGCTGCCGACCTTGAAGCTAGTAGAGGCCATAAGCCAGGGAAAGAAAGCAGCCTCTAACAGCTGGAAAGGGCAAGGAAACAGATTCTCCCCTAGAACTCCCACAGAGAAATGCAGCCCTGCCGACACCTTGATTTTAGTCCAGTGACACCCACTTCAGACTTTTGAACCCCAGAATTGTCAGATAACAAATTGATGTTGTTTCAGGCACTAAGTTGGTGGTAACTTGCAGTTGCCATAGAAAACTAATACAATGTGCAGCCAATGCTAGTACTTCAACACTGACTGCCAGCTGACAGCAATTTGAAGACTCACCCTGATCTCAGAGGCATTAAAATATGAAAAAATATGTACTGTAAATTTGGTGAAATATAGTAAATGTATGTTAAATAGGTATCATAGGAAGACCATTTAGAAATTGTAACTATGGACACAAATAGTCTTATGTGATACTCGGAATCCAGTTAGACATCATTTTAGTATCTGAAGTAATTGTGTCACTACCAAATAAGAAATATATGAAAAGAAAGTGTAATTTGATCAAGTTCAACGGTCCTTAGTTAAGGCTAGGCAGGAAAAACATGCAAATACCTTAAAAGCCAAATAAATGTAAACCTCAATCAAATGATGTGACAACCTGGGCTGTGACACCCCCTTTTAAGGTTCTAAAGTGTTCATTATATATATAAACAGGGTTAAGTGACACCCCCTTTTAAAGTTCTGAAGTCCCCATTATATGTTAACAGGGCCAGAGGCAGCCCATACTGTCCAAGACAGTGTTCATGCCTGTGGTTACTACACAACTCCACAATCAGCGGTGAACACAAAATTGTTTAGGATGAGGGTTCTCAACTGCCAGGCCACAGACAGGTACTGGTCCATGGCCTTTCAGGAACTGGGCCTCACAGCAGGAGGTGAGCAGCCAGCAGGCAAGCTGAGCATTAGCGCCTTGTGCTCCACTTTCTGTCAGAGCAGCGGCAGCATTGGATTTTCATAGGAGCACGAACTTTATTGTGAACTGCACATGTAGGGGATATAGTTGTGTGAGAATCTAATAGTTTCATCCTGAAACCATCCCCCTGCCACCTGCCATCCATGGAAAAATTGTCTACCATGAAACTGGTCCCTGGTGCCAAAAAGTTTGGGGACCACTGGTTTAGGACATCATTGTTCTGTGGGTGACTAAACAACATTAAATTCAATCAAGTGAGCCAGGCATGGTGGTGCACACCTGTAGTCTCAGGGAGGACCTGTACTTGGGAGGCTGAGGTGAGAGGATCACTTGAGCTCTGGAGTTTGTGACTAAACTGGGCAACAGTGAGACCCTGTCTCTAAAAAACAAATAATAATAGTAATAATAATCATGTGAATTGCTGCCAATAATTAAAATTTAATAAAATGTATTTTGAAATAATATCTACAGGTTACAAGTAAAAAGGACCACAACTTAAGAATTTGGAAGAGTTCAGAGACCCTTAGGGATAGACAGGTATATGATGCTTTATGACATTTCATATACCCCATGTATGAGATCGTGAAAACACACAGGAATATACTCCAACCAAATAGTGAATGAAGCAGAACAGATAAGTTAGGGGAGATGAAAGCGCAAACAGGGCAAGCAGCAAACCTTGTCATTTCATTATATAGTTGGGAAATCCTAATTTTTAGTTTCAGGGGAATAGGATTAAATACTCTTACTATTTTTGTTCAAATGAATCTCAAACTTCTCCAGCAATTGGAGTTAACTGAGCATGTGTTCTGTGTGTTTTAAGTGTTCTCAGGCTACAAATCTCACTCTGATGGAGTAAGGAATGCCATGAGGTACCCTTAGGTCCCTTTTCTGGAAGCTTCCATCTCCCAAACTCCTGGAAGAGTTAGTTGCTGTCAACTCACAGGTAAGTTTCTCCCCAGGAATTGCCCCCAGCCAGACAGCTGCTTACCCAGGCCACACTTCCTCCCTGGGGAGAGCCCATATCAGTGACTGGCTGTTATATGATACAAAGTTCTGCCTCAACTGGGGCAAGTCTGAGGGAGTGTCCCAGCTCCAACAGCTCCCGATGAGACTGACTGAGGCCTCTATTGCAAACACATGGTACTGAAACTTTTCCCTCTGCCCAATCCTGCTTCCCTCACCCCTGCCAGGTATTGTTTCTGAGAGTCCTTCCCAGTAAACCTCTAGCATGAAAATCTCTGAGCCTCAGAGTTTGTTTTCCAAGGAACACTATCTACAATAGGGATTTTAGAGCTGAATCCCATGTCACAGGTTGGCAGCAAGGACCCCCTTCACTGGTGTGAGATAGAGCACTGATAGCCCCTGGCATACGGTCTTGGTGCAATTCCTAATCTTTACCTGGTGCTGAGGAGGGACTGCACGTAGGTAAACCAGAATGCACTGCTGGAGGAGTATCTCAGGCATTTGAGAGTAGTCATTACAAGGACTTCGGCATCAGATTGCTGTTGCTGGGAGCCTTTAACACATTGGAGAGAGACACGTTTTGGGATAATTAATCACCAAGAGGTCCTACTTGGTAGCATATAAAGACTCTTTCATCTCCTGTAAACGGAGGGTAGAAAAAGCTGAGGTTCAGGTCCCAAAATTAATGATAAAGGCAGTGAGCCATCAAGGAAGATTAAATTTTCAGTCCTAAGAGGTTGGCTTCCCTGAGGTTAGGGCCTCAATCAGGAATGAGAACCCGAGACTTGAAATAGGGACATGTGGAATGATGTACCTGTCATCTTGAATCTTGCATCCCCAAATTCATCTCAACTCTCTGGGCCTGCAAAAGTGGCTCACTCCTCCCTGTCAAAAGCTAGCATTTCCTTCTTGGTTGAACTTGATACAAAAATCCTTTTTTTCTTTTTTGGCAGCACAGAAAGACCAAACTCAGAAGGTACCATACCTGGCTGCATGGCTTTAGACCAGTAACTCACATGATGAACAATGTAATGTGTCTAGAGAAGTGCTGGGCCTGCTGAGGGAGGAGGAGAATTGTGTCCTGAAGGTGCTGCTGGACCCAGCTAACATGGCTAGGCACGAGCCAGGAGAGGCTGTACGGGACAGGAGCCTGAAAGTGCTGGTGCGATGAAGGTGGAACATCAATCTGGATAAGGGAGAATTTATTGATATGGGCACTCTTCTGATATGTAGGATTTAAAACCCTGACAGGGTCCCAGAAGATAGTGCTCATACCTAAGTTTACTCTCGGAAGCTTGGAGATAATGATGGCCCATGTCATTTAATATTGAAATATTAGAATTATGATGGCCAATAATTGAAGGGTGAATCAAAAGACCCGGAGATGTATATGAGAACATATTAACATTGGTGTCATTAAAGTTGGTATGCAACCCCCCACTGCTAAATCTGACTGGCTTGAAAAAAAAAGACCCAGAGATGTAGGCATACTAAATATTCTACACAGGGCCAGAAAACTCACCGGCCAACTATATTATGTGGGCTTGGAGAATACTTGTTTATTGTACAATGAGAAAAGTACTGGTACCAGAGGCCATGGCTTAGCAGTAAAGCTTGGTGGCATCTTCTGTTGTCTAGGGCTGACAATAGGCAATGCTGCTTCAGAACCGGGCTCCCTGATGGCCCTGTATGATAGAATGCAGAGCAAGCACAATTATCATGAGTGCAAGTCAAAGTAATGTCCAAGAGTGCCAACCTGCAGAAATTTTTAGAGATGGGCAGTAAGCAAGGGGGTTGCTTATTCTATACAATCAAAATAAGTCAAGGATGGATGATACTATATTAAGGATGACCACCCCGAAAAAAGTCATAGTCCTTGGTCTGATTTATAGAACCAAGTTTTTAGACTTGGAAGCCAGTGACTGAAGGAGAGGCTGGATTTTAAGGACAAATGACCCTGCAAAACCATGAGTGACTATAGTACACAGTTATGAAACAATGAGGGAAGGGAAAGTCCCAGGCATTTTGAGAACTGTTGAATAAAGTTATGGGCTGGAAACTGAGATAGAAACTTGCTGTTCTAACATGGCCCCCTCTGAGGAAGCTATGTGGAGGCCAGGTAAGAAGTGGAAGTGTTCTGGTTCAGGTTCGCTGGTCCCACAAATCCACTGGGTAAGCATCTCCCTAATCCCTCAATGCACTATTGGAATAGACATAACTGCCGGTTGGTAGAACCCCAACATTGAATCTCAGGACTGTAGGTTAAGAACCATCACGGTAGAGAAGCTATGTGGAATCCATTGAAACTTTCCCCCTCAATCAAAATAGTAAATTGAAAAGGGTCACAAAAGAACATAGTGGGGTGATGGAAATGTTCTGTATTTTGATTGCTGTGGTAGTGATTACATTTATTCATGCATTTGTCATGAAATAGTTTGAAGTCAAAAAGTCATCAAGCTGTGCAGTCAAAATGAGTGCATTTTATTGTATGTAAACCATTCCTCAATAAAGTTGATTAAAAATACCATTTTGCCAGAGAGTGACAGTCAGTGAAGATGTAAAGAAATCATATCTCCATTTAATTCAACAGTCAGCCTCCTGAAAAATCCAAATGGATCCTGGAGCATGAGAGTGAACTATCACAAATTCACAAATAGTGAGTGGTCCCAGTTGTAGCTCTTGTACCAGTTGTGCTGCCTTTGATAGAGCAGATTAATACAACCTCACAAACATGGTATGTGGCTGTTTATCTACCAAATGTGTTCTATTCTATCTCCTTCCTCAGGAAAGAGAATCAGACATGGCTCACAAGCTTTGGAGTGAACAAGAGTATGTATGGTTTTTCCCTAGGGTAAATTAACTTGCTTACCCTCTGCCATTCTGTAGTCTGAAGAGATATGAACTGCCTCGATATTCTACAGAATGTCTTACTGGTCTATTGTATCAATCCATTGTGACATTGTGCTTATTGGATTGGATGAAAGAGAAGCACCAAGTAGGTTCGAAGCTCTAGAAAGTGGGAAATAATGCCTATAGACGATTCAGGAGCCCATTAGATTAGTACATTTTATAGGGCTTCTGTGGTCTGGGAGATGACCTCCTAGTAAAGGAAATGTTATTACATCACATATCTCCTGTTGGTAGGAAGGAGGCACAGTGCCTGAGGAAATGCTTCAGATTTTGGTGGTAACATATTCCACCAAATCACTCTTAGAGAAGAATAAATATGTACATATAGGCAATGGTTTATATCCAATCAAAGACAAGGATATCTGAGTAAGAGACATGATGGACCTATAGGAGTGAGCGTGAGGGAAGAGAGCCTTGAATATCATATGAACATCTATTTGGAAGGAGGAAGTCATCAGCCAGTCACCCAGTGCTGGCACAATGGGCATGTGAATGGAGTATGCTGTGGCAGAGACTGTGTGCTCCCAGTCTCTATAATTCTAGACTTTATGGGTTAGATGTCTTGGTTCCCTAGAGGAAGCACACTTCCATGAAGGGACACAAGAGACCACCAGCAGACACAGAAAGAAGTCACTCTTCTGGCAGGGACATTTGATCCAGGAGAGGGCAGAGGAGCTGGTACATGACGGTGACAGTAGGGAATGTGTTTGACACCAAGGCAATTTGCTGTGGCATCTCTTGGTATTCTCCTCCCTAGTTGTGATATCAAATAGACAAGTGCAGCAGCCATGCCCTAGGCTAGAATCCAAAAATGAGGGTCTGTGCTACTTTGCCAAGCTGTCTAGATCAGCAGAAGTTCTACGTAAGGGGCTGGTTTTGAGATCAGCTGCAGAGGCAGGAAGAGAGTTATGGCAATTCATTCCTCTAGGTTTCAGCTTTACTTTTTTTCAGGAAGAGACCAGCCAGAGTCCTGGAGAAACTGATTCCAGAACTTGTACATGGGGCTGAATGGCATAAGGGTGGACTGAGGTATGGGGTGCTGCCAGATTCCCATCAGCAGGAGGGACTCATTCCCCAGTCTGCTGGGAGTGCTGGCACAGCACAGCTGTCAACAGAGTTCCTCCCAGGATTTTCCCTTGGTCAATTTCTCCTGTGAATCAGGCAGCATCTAATGGTGGACTCAGGATTACAAGGACCCAACCCCATGCCCCATCCTAGTGAGGGCAGAGGTCCCTGTAGAGCTGGATAAGGTCTTTGCTGTGGCTGCATCCTAGTTCAGTTTATCTGTCTAGTCCTGCTCCCTTCACCCCATGGGCACTCCTGGGAACACCTCCTACACACCAATCTCAACCACAGTTTGCTCTCCAGGGAACTCCATAGATTGCTATTTTTCTTGCTTTTTTATTGCATCAGGGCTAGCTGTGGGCCTGTGATGAGAGGTAGTACTTTTGCAGGTAGAGAAAATGAAATGTCTCCACCTTGGCAGAACGTGGTCCTCTGCTGAGCCCCCTGGAAGAAGCCCCCAGTTTTGCCTCTTCATTCTTTCAGAGTCAAGGAGGACACAGTCTGGCTATTGAGCTCCTCTTCAGAGCGAGGACAACCTAGTACACTTAGGATTGATGTCACCATCTCCATCTCATGCACAATTGCTTGAGGCTGTTGTCACCCTTTTCACCACAGTTTCCTGGCCCTACCTTGGGTACACAAACCTCACTGGGCCATGGTTTTCCAGGATTGACTGTCCATATGTCCTTGCTCCAGAACCCTTGACATTGCTCTGCAAGATCGGTGCAACCCCTGGAGGCACATTACTTTTTTTCAGGGGTTCTCTCCTCTAAGAGTGTAGGGGAGCCCTTTGGTTCAAGAGAGGCAGATGGATTGAAATTATGAGTGCACATGTGGAAGGTGGAGGTGGAGCTGCCTGCAGGTCACTGTGTTCCCAGAATCTTCTCCTATTTTCAGTCTTCCATTTTGTTTTCTGTTTCCCGATTTGCTCTTGAGATGACTTGTTTTTGTGTGCTGATTCATTTGTGTGCTGATCTTCTGTATGAAATAATTATGTCAAGCCTAAGTAACTGGCAGGGACACTTACATAATTGGTCAGTAAATTTGGGAAGTTTAGCTTCCTTAGTACAGTGAATAAATCCTCTACAATATGTTTCACTTCAACTTTATAGGTCTTGTTAAAATTTTACTTGAGCAAATATCAATAAAGTCTTTTGCCCAGCCAGCATAGCCAATTTATAAGAAATATTATCTGTGTATAATTTGAATATAGTAGTAGATATTTCATTTGGCTTTCTCTTAAATAATAAAAACAAGACTTTTTAAAGTCTTTATTTTACCACCAATTACTGCATTTCAGAACTTGGAGAGGTACATTTTAAGACTGAGCAAATCTATCAATTATAATCTGATGGAAAAGATGTGACTGAGTGTTCCTCCTTAGCAAGAAAGTTCTGTGGTGACTTATTTGGTACTCACATCCACTGAGAAAGGCTTCCCTGAGCTATTTATTACTCATGCGCTTTATAGAGCATTACAGTCAGTAAATATCCTTTGCCTGTCACAAGAATTTGCAATTATACTAGAATGTCATCATTTCAGGAAACTATAAAGCAATGAGCATGTTTATTTTCAGCCACAAATGGAAAAAAATATCCTGAGAACCAGATTCTCTTGGCAGTTTGAGACATTTATTAGAAAATCTGTAATTTCTTTTTGTAATCCCACACTCAGTGGGCATACCCTTTAATGGAGGTATGTCAAGTCTGCAGAATTATATGGTACATTCTAAACTTGCTTTGCTGGGAAAATAGGACTCATGGCTTAATTTATAGGCTTGTTGAGCTCACCACCCTGCTGGCTCCCTAGAAGGAGGAATTAAAGTCTCTTAATGACTTAAAGGGACCTAAAGTGTTCTCAGGTGCCCTTGGACGAACCCTTGGAATGGTGGGCACTGAATTTTGGCATTTGTATTTTACCTTAAGGAATGTGTTCTCTACAAAATTAGATGACTTCAGGGATTTCTGCGTAATCCCACTGAGTAGAGATTGTCTCCATTTTTCTGCATTTCTACCATGTTCCCAGTTTTTTATTCCTCAGTGCCTAGAAACATACTGACTTTTAGGTGTTTGCTCCTTCAAATGTGCTTTCAGGATGGAGAGAACAAGAATCACTGAGGTGTTAGTGAGATAACACCTACTTCCTCTCTAGACCTAAATATGTGTCAGCTGGCCACATTTGGCTTGCTGGCTATGATCTCCTAAATTCTTCTTCTTTGCGTAAGGCAATAGCTTCAATTGGGACTGGACTTCCTGTTTTGGATTCCGAATTGAATGTTTTGGAGCTCCTGTTTAAGTGGCAGATGTCTGTGGTCAAACCTACTTTGGTTAATGTTTCTTCCTCTTGTTTCACTGCTTCTATTGTTACATTTTTAAATTCATTAAACAGAGTTAAATCTACATTTTCTTTTGAAACAGAGCCTGATTCTATTTTTTGATGTGCAATTGCTGGCATCTTTTAAGCTACACCCCTTCTTCTTGCCCTTGTGCCCCATATTTAGACATGCAGGATAAGAGAGCCTGGATACTCCCTCCTTTGGTGCTGGAGGTAGGTTCAGGCCACATGACCCCCCTGCCCTGAGTGGGAACGTTCCACCCCCTTGTCAACCAAAAATCCCTAAGCAGGCTCTTTCCCAAGCTCTCAAACCATTTTTGGATCTGCTTTAGAGTCACCCTGTTCACCTCAGAAAGCCTCAATATGTGAATGTGATGGTCAATTTTATGTGTCAGCTTGGCCATGGTATCTAGATATTTGGTCTATGTTCTTCTAGTTGTTTCTATGAAGGTATTTTTATGATGAGATTAATATCTACATCAGCCAACTTTAAGTAAAGCAGTTGACCCTCCATAGTGTAAGTGGGCCTCATCCAATCAGTTAAAGACTTTACTATAAAAAGGCTGACTTCCCTTAGAGAAAATAAATTCTGCTAGTAAACCACCTTCAGATTTGAGCTGCAGCATCGGCTCATCCCTGGGTCTCCAAACTACTGGTTGACCCTGCAGATTTTGGGTTTTCTAACTTCCACAATTCTGCAAGTCAATTTATTTTTATTTTTATTTTTTTTGGAGATGAGTCGTGCTGTATTGCCCAGGCTGGGTGCAGTGAGGAGATCTTGGCTTGCTGCAACATCCACCTCCCTGCAACCTCCGCCTCCCTGCAACCTCCACCTCCCAGGTTCAAGAGATCTTCTGTCTCAGCCTCCCAAGTAGGTAGGATTACAGGTGCAGGCCACTGCACCCAGCTAATTTGTGTATTTTTAGTAGAGATGGGGTTTCACCATATTGGCCAGGCTGGTCTTGAACTCCTGACCTCAGGTGATCTGCCTACCTCTGCCTCCCAAAGTGCTGGGATTACAGGTGTGAGCCACCCTGCCTGGCCTCAATTTCTTAAAATAAATCTCTTTCTCTCTGTCTCTACACACACACACACACACACACACACACACACACACACACATATATATGTATATATACCTATGTATATATAATATGTATGTATATATGTATATGTAATCACATACACACATCCTATTCATCCTGTTTCTCTGGA